GGAGAAGCTGGCTCCCTGCTAATTTCATTTTCCTAGCTCACCAGCTTGGCAAGGCCTCACTCCTCTAGCTGCAGTCTCGTGGAGCTCAGACCCAGCTCTCCTAGCCAAAGAAAGAAAGCTGTGACTCACCAGAAAATTTCCTTGCTATTTTCATATATATATATATATATATATATATATATATATATATATATATATATATGAAAGTTCTCACATTATGCCTTAGCTCAGCAGCTTCCACCTCCTGCATAGATGCTCACATGCTAGACTGGAAAAGTAGAAAGTTTGCTCAAGATGTGCCTTAGAAGAGAGAGCACAGGTCCAAGTTCATTTTGACGTTCTCCAAAAGTGGGGCTACAGCAGGAAAAAATGGCTCTCAGGTCCAGGGGGTCTCACTTTCCAAAAGAACAAGTAACCTCCTGAAAAGGGAAGGACAGAACTGAAGGTCCCCAAAGGCCAGTGTCCGGCTCTGCCGTCTGTGGCTTGGATGCTTCTTTCTGTGCTTCCCAAACAATCCATAAGACAACAGGCTGGTGGTCAATGTGCTGGTGCTGTAGGTGCAAGCCCCTGCACCTGCTCCCTTCTGCGCCTTGCTTTCTGAGCTCCAGCCACACTGGCCTTTATTGGGTTCTTTGAACTCACTGAGTTTCCTGCCCCTCAGTGAGCCTTTGCCCATTCTGTTCCCTCTGCCTGACTCACTCCCCCTGAGCCCATGCTGCTGAACTTCCCCTGCTCCCTCGAACTCTTTCTTCAGAGCCCAGCCAAAAGAACCCTTCCTCAGGGACACTTCAGTGACCCCTGAAGTCAGGTCAGGCCCCACATGTCATGGGTTCTCATGGCACCATGCTTTCCTCTCTAGTGCTTTCTGCAGCTTAATTTCACACACATTTGCTGAGATCCCTGAGGGTTATCACCTCCCTGACTAGACTGTGAGCTCCATGTTGGCTTCCATGTTGGTCTTTCTAGCCCAGGCATATCCGTCTGGATGTTGCATAAGCCCTATGGACTTGTCATGTTCAAATAAAACTCATCATCTTCCCTCCCGACCTCTCTGCTGACCTGCTTCTCCTCTTCTCAGTAAATGCCACTTCTCTCCCCAGGGCCAAGCCTGGGAAACTTGGGAGTGGGCTCTCTCCCAACTGCAACCCTGACCCCATTCAGTCTAGCCATTTCACAGACCCCTTGCGAACCCATCCTTCTCATGGTAGCCAGAATGAGAGTGAAAATTCAATCTTACTCTCTCACTTCCCTGCTCCAAATTCATCCGATGGCTTCCCACCAACCTCAGAACAAAGCCCAAACTCTCTAATGGGACTTAAAGGCCCTTGGTTATGTGCCATCTTCTTAATTCTCCAACCTTGTTTATCACTCCCGTCCCCACCCCCACCCCAGAACACCATGTGAAGCCCCCTCAGCTATGTTCAAGTCACCAACATGCTCTCTCTAGCCTCTGTCGGGGTCTTTGTTTGTCACATTTCTTTACCCTGAAAGCTCTGCTCTATAAAACCATTGCAGCACTTACTTCTCATTCTAGAATCTGCTTCCTCCAGGAAGCTATCCATGCCTACCTCACCACCACCTCCTTTGCTCCACAGCCTCCTCATCACTGCATGAATGAGGCTGTATTATTGGCTTGTTTCCTTGCGTGTTCTCTTCACTCGAGTGGAAGGCTTGTGGGATCAGGGTCTTGCCTGCTCTGATGTCTGCTGCATCCACAGCAGCCAGTGGTGCCTGGCACATGTACACAGACAGACAGTGCATGACTGGAAGCTTGAATGAACCAGACCTTCATTTTCCCAGCCGCTGCTTCTTTCTGTGCTTGGACAAGTCCTTGGTTGCTTTCGGTAGCTTTCTCCTCTCCCCCACTCATTTTGCTTCCCCTGGTGATTACATCTAAGGCTGCATTGCTCCTGCCCACAGCTTCTCATAAGGAAAGTACTGTCTTTTCTGCTTTTTCTCTCAAAAATATCCCTGACCAGGTGGCCTAATTAATGGCCCCTGAGCCATCCTAGAACTTCTATACCCTTTAAAGATCTTTTTCCTCCCTCTATCCCCAAAACTCACCCTTTGGCTGTGACTTCCATAAATTTTACACATTTAATTCCCTGATGCTATTCAGTTCTCAAATCCCAGGCTGAGATAAGCCCCCAAAGTAATTTAGGTAACGGCTTAATTATCTCATCTCTCCTTTACTCTAATCTTTCCATTTCCATCGCCACCTAGGAAGCAGTGAAAAATGGGATCTGTAAATAGGTTTCTGCCCAAACCTATTTCTTCCCTTGCAGTTCTTATCTTAGTTCATGTCATCAGCATCCACCCAATCACCTGAGGTCTGAACCTCATGATCACCATCTACCCCTCCCTCAAACCCCCTACTCGCTTTCCAGGATGAATCCAAGATCACCTGCTCTCCTATTGAGGGGTCTCTGAAGTTCAGCCTTCTCTGGCCACCTCCCAGGCCTTCATTATCTCTATTCCCTTGGACTAAGTTCACCTTCTGACTGGTCCTCTTGTTTCCAGCACCATGCCTATGCCCACACACATCCACCTATCTACCATCTACTCATTTATTCACCCATTTACCCACCCATATACTTACCCACCCATCCACCCATCAATCCACTCATCCATCAACCCATCCACCCACCCACCTATTTATCCATCCATCCATTCATCCATCCACCCACCCACCCACCCACCCACCCACCCATCTTCCTTCCTGAAATTCAATGCCCTCATAGCCTCCCATCAAGTCCTTACTCTGTCTCCCCAGCTAATCCTCTTCTATTGCATTTGGAATTCTTACTCTACTGAGTTACTTCTCTTTTTATCCATGGTTTCCTCTATCTATAATTCCAGCTTTTTGCCTCTCTATTTGGAAAACTCTTACCCATTCTTTTTTTAAATTTCTTTATTGATTAAGGTTGATTGGTTACATATGTGTCCTTATTTCCCCATTACCCTCCCTCCCCCACCTCATGCCCTCACCCCCCTGTTGTCTGTGTCCATTGATTAGGCTTATATGCATGCATACAAGTCCTTTGGTTGGTTCCCCCTCCTTATCCCCACCCTTCCCTACCTTCCCTCTGAGGTTTAATGGTCTGCTCAATGTTTCTGTGTCTCTGGATCTATTTTTGTTAATAAGTTTATGTTGTTCATTATATTCCACAAATGAGTGAGAGCATGTGATATTTATCTTTCTCTGACTGGTTTATTTCACTTAGCATAATGCTCTCCAGTTCCATCCATGCTGCTGCAAATGTTAAGAATTCCTGGAGTTCTTACCACTGCAACTCTTACCATTCTTGAAGACCCAGCATGAATGAGACCTTTTATTGATCTCCCTTCCACAGTATCTCTCTGTGTCAGGCACATTGCTGGGTGTGGTCACTAAAACAGAAACAATCTTTACTCTGAAATAATTTACAGGTGGGCAGGGAATGGAAACTCCTTAAGGTAGACTTTCTCATGAGTGTGCATCAGAATCACCTAGAGGACTGGTTAAAACACATATTCTGGGCCAATCCCACGGTTTCTTATTAAGTGGTCTGGAATGGCCCTGCATTCCAATAAATTCCCAACTGATGCTGCTGGTCCTGGGACCACACTTTGAGAACCTGTGTCTTGGAGTGTGGTCACAGTCGTGATCTCTGGTATCATTTAAACTGAGACCTAGAGGAAGAGAAGGAGCCATTCATGACAAGAGCAGGGGCTAACATATTCCAGATGGAAGGAGCAGTGTGAGTGAAGACCTCAGGTGGAAAAGAGCTCTGAAAGCCTGGAGAGCACAGGAGGGCGGCACCTTCTCCAACTTCTCACGCAGAACGAACGCTCCTTCACCTTCCACTGTAACCAGTTAGGGATGACCAGGCCTGTGGGGGAGGGCAGCTAGAGGCAATCAGGCTGGCAGGGAAGCAGCTAGGCATCAATCAGGATGGCTGGGGAGTGTCTAGGGGGTGATCAGGCCGGCAGACAGAAGTGGTTAGGGGCAATCAGGAAGGCAGGCAGGCGAGCACTTGGGAGCCAGCAGTCCTGGGTTGTGAGAGGGATCCCAGATTGGAGAGAGGGTGCAGGCTGGGCTGAAGGACACATATCCCCATGCAGGAATTTCATGCACCGGGCCTCTAATATTATATATATATATATATATATATATATATATATATATATATATATCCCCTTTACTAAGGCTAATAGAGGGGTCTTTGAGAGAAATATTCTTCCATTTCATTTTTTTGGAAGGATTTCCATTTCCCAAGCTCTGGGAAACAGTGGCATATAAACCTGTGGTTCTCAGACTTTAGTATGAATTAGCATTCCCTGGAGGGTTTGTTAAAACTCACATTGCTGGGCCTATCCTCAGGGTTTCTGATTCAGCAGGTCTAGAGTGGGGCTTGGGAATCTACATTTCTAACAAGTCCCCAGGTGCTTCTGCTGTTGGTGGTCTGAGGACCACATTCTGAGAAACCCTGTTTTAGCATACTGCCCAGCCAGAAGATGCTAAGCATCTGTCCATCATTACAGGACAAAGATTTTCTTGTCTTATATGTACTTTACTCAAAGCAGCTTTCCTTAACCCCTACTCCCAAATACAGAAGAAGGAAAAGGGGAAGTGTTCATATTTTGTTCTTTTAACTGCATAGTTCTAGAACTCAGACAAATATTTCAAACACAACTGGTTTCCTATTCCTTAGCCCTGGGGAGGGCAGCTTCTTCCCAGAAGGGGGAGATGCTTGTAGCAAATGCCATATGTAGCGGGAGAGTAGATGGGGTAGAGCTCAGAGATAAAGACCTGAGTTTTGGCCCCAGCACTGCTCTGTGACCTTGGGAGGATCACTCCAGCTTTCATAGTATTTGTTTCCCCACCTGTGAATGTGTTAGAATAAAACCGAGCTTGAAGGATCCCATGAGGGTCAGAGAGCCACGGTGAGTGACATTGCAGAACACTGTTTGGATGACAGTTCTAACAAAGCCAACCTGAGCTGTCTTGGTTTCCACAGGAAGGACCAGTATCTCCTATCACCTGTGAACTGCTGGTATCTGGTCCTGCATCAGACCAGACGGGAGAGCCGAGACCATGCCACCCTCAATGACATCTTCATGAACAACGTCATCGTCCGCCTCTCACAGATCAGTGAGGATGTCATCAGACTCTTCAAAAAGGTGGGCAAGCAGGCCACCTGACCTGCCTGGGTTTTTCTCCCCCAGGCTGGCCATGGCAACTGTGTGCTATCCAGGGTGTGGTGTGGTTTGGGGACATGAGACCAGGAGGGTAGTTGTGATGAGGGTGTAAGGGGTTGAGGGCTGGACTTGGCATCCCAGATCCTGAGTTTGAATCCTGGATATGAATGGTGGCTCAACCACTTCAGCAACCACCTCAGAAATAAAAACCTTTTCATGATAAAGTAAGTAATACACATTCATTGTAGGAAATATGGAAAAATGAACATGAGTACGAACAAAAATTAAAATCACCTGCAATGTTATCAGCAGTATTCACTTTGGGATCATAGGTATTTCTACGAGTGCTCATACTTACAAATTTTCCAGTATATATATATGCATTTCCCCCAATGAGGTCAGTCTACATATATGATTTTGCTATCTGCTTATGTCACCTAAAAATTATATAACACTTTATTACAGAATTTTCCCATGTCAATAAATATATTTCTATAATATTTTGAATGATTAATAATATTTCATTATATAACGTACCCTAATTTATTTCACCAATCAGTGTCTTATTGTTGAACACTTAGATTATTCCATTCTTTTACTCTTCTAAACAATGCTTCTGTGAGCAATCTTGTATATAACCTTTGTCACCATTCACTGCTAGTTCCTAGCATCAGTTTCTACAACGGGGATTTTGGGGTCCAAAGTTTACTCATTTTTAAGTCTTTTAACAGACTCCTCAATTGCTTTCAGAAAGGACTCACCCATGTTTATGGCCCAGAAGCCAAGTGGAAGGAGCAATTTATGCCCCAGGCTTCTATATCCCAAGCCCCTTGCACAGTGCCAAGCAAGCACCAGCTGCTGTGTGAATGACTGTGGCACTGAACTTCAGTTTTCTCATTTGTGAAGTGGGCAAGTCATCTAGTCTTCATGAGCTTCATCCTCTCTGTCTTGAGTAGTGGCGATCCACTACTTCCCAGTGGCAGTGTGAGGGTTAAGGGAAACAATGCATGTGAAGGGGGAAGGTGTTGAGAAGTGGTTCAGGGTGTGGGTCTTTGGGCCCACAATTCTTGAAATTCTGTGGGTCATAATCCTGGTCCCATCATTAGCTTTCCATCCTTAGTCTGGGGTTTGTTCCTTATACTCTTTGTGCCTCCGTTTCCTCACTTGTGAGGTAGGGATAGAAATACCCCTTGGGCAAGTAGGAGTATTAAGAAGGTTTTTAATCCACGTGAAGCATGGAGAACAGCATCTGGCAGCTAAGTGCTCAGGAAAGCTGGCTGTCATTATAGGAATGTGAGAGACTCTTCCTACTAAAAAAAAATCTAGCTCATCGGTTTTTGTGAGGTGCCAATTTTAGGGATTGGGTGACCTGGGATTGCTAGGAGCGCAAGGAAGAGGACAAGCTGGTTTGAAATATAATAACCTCTCCATGGTCTGTATTGGGATTGTCCACTCTGAGGACGACTTCTGTAACAAAACTGTTATCACAGGCTGGTTCCCATCCTCCACACAGTGTGCTCTAGTGTCCTCCCGGGGCTCTGTTAACGAAACATAGTCTAACTTTAATATTTACATAAGCAAACATAATTAGAATGGTAAATACAGTACAATAAAAAAAAAATTCGCACAGCGCTTTGCAGAGCCACACTGAAGTGATTCAGGTCACTTGGTCTCATCACAAGCCTCTGCCTGCTGCAATGTCACATCTTTTTTCCTGGGTGGGAGTGACTCAAAGAGAAAAGATCATCATGGCCTTTAGGAAATGAAGGTGCCCCCTCTACCCACCCCCTGAGCTGAGCTGAAGGGACAAGTGAGATAAATCTTTTCAGTTCTCATTTAGTCTGACAGCAGCCTCACTTGTGATGGAGGTTAACAGGGTGGAAAATAATGAAAAAATGTCTACAGCTGAGCTCCTGGCTGCCTTGTTACCAGGCCTGTGCCTGTGGAACAAAGGAAGCAACCCAGCCCCCGTGGGCCGGGAGAGAGATGGGGACAGGGCCTCGCTGGCTGAGCTAGCACAGCACGGCCTCTTTGTGTCACATCAGTTATAGATAATCTCGGCACCGAGATGGCACTCCTTACATAATAATAGTTCCTGCACGCCTCAAAATGACTGCAGGGCTGGTCTCTGGTCAGACTGGGGCATGGGCTCGTCACTCCCCCATTTTTGCAGATGAGGAGGTAAAGCTTGAGAAGCTGCAGGGAGAACCCAGCTTTAGTAACTTTGGGCCTGTTGTCATCACTGGCCGGAGGCAGCATGGCTGGGCTTTGCAGTCTCTCAGAAATGCCTCTCACTGACTGTGACTCTGGGCAAGTCTTCCTGAGCATCAGTTTTCTCATCTGGGAAGTGGAGATGGTGACGATGTATCCATCAGTGGCCTGTTTTGAAGAGTAGATGTACGCCATGAGTCCTTCCTAGTCTCAGGCCTGGGAGAGTTGCATTGACTGACAGCTTCTTGCTGATGGCAAGATGCTGTTTAACTTAATAACTACCTTTTCTTGATTCTCCATTTTCCCTCTTATAGTGGACTCTATTCTTATGACTAGAGGAAACACTTTAAATTCCAGAAGCCATTCTAGGATTCCACTGGTCAAATGGACTTATGCATGCAGGTGACCCTTGCTTTAAGTGTGAGGTATGGGTCCACCATAGCAGAATGGAAGTGGACAAGATCTTGGAGGTCATTTTAAGGATCAGGACTTTATAGTTGCAAACAACAGAAACCCAGCTCAACCTGCTTGAGGGAAAAGGGGGATTTACCAACTCTCTAGAACCAAGACTGGTTCAGGCATGGGGAGCTTCGAGGGCACAAAGGAATTCAGTTTCTCTAGCAACTGTACTCCAGTTCCCCTACTCCCTTTTTATGGGGGATAGTGAAGGGATTTTTTGTAGTCAGTCTCTCTCTCTATGTGATGACAAGATGGCCCCTTGCAGCTTCAGGCTTCAAAAAAGAAGTGAGAGCTCCTTTCCCCCCAGAATTGGGTCTTATGGGCTCTGATTGGCTCAGTGTGGGTCACATGAACATGCCTGCTGCTGTACCTGTGGCTGAGGGATGCATGTGGACTGACCAGGCCTGAGAAACACACCTACCCCTGAAGCCAAATGTACACTCAGCTTTACCTGATGCATGGGACAGAGAATGGAAAAAACTGAAGTGCAATAAATCATTCAATGTCTACTGGGCCTTCTGTTCTAGTCCTTTATCATCCTCTATAAGAGTAATCATCCTCCCTCTGTTGGATCACCCTCAATAAAGGGCATTTATTATACTTCACTGGATGGCTCATTTCATTTGGGGACAACTGTGATCAATACAAAATTCTCCCCAATGTGGAGATAAAATCTTATAGTGTTTCCTACTCACAGGGCCTGGTCATATCCTTGAGGGCCACATAGGTCAGATCCACATGGAAACCTGTGAATTTCTCAAACACAGAAATCATGGTCACCCACCCAGGTCTTTCCCAGCTCTGGGGAAACATCCCAGGCTCTTTCACTTGTCCCTCTGTGATTTGGCTTGTGTTTCCTCTCCACCTGGGACACTATCCCTCAGTCATTCTCTGGGTCTTCTCTGACCCACAGAAGTTAATATTTAGGACCATCCAGAACTCTCTAGAGAGATCCGGCCAGCTGGCCAGCTGAGATTAGAGCAGGGCTATGTTGACTCTTCATTTCTAATAATGAAATCGATGAAGGCCATTTGCCTTTTTCATGACAGTCGCATTACATGGTTAATTCACTGAACTCTTAGCTCAAATTCCCAGGTATTTTTGTCCAATTGGTTTTTAATCTAGCCTGTGAATTCTACACTTAGTGTTTTTTATATATATATATATTTGCCCTTTTAAAATGTTATTATATTTGATTAAGGTCAAATGGAATCTGTGTCCTTATTTAAGTGATTTTTCAAGCATGAATGGGATAACTTTTCCAAGCAGTTCCAATTCTTCCTTTGTGGGAAAAGCTTGTTCTATAACTTTTCCATGTCTTCCTTCTTAGTGTTTCCTTCTTTTATGTGTCAATTCTTTGCCCCTATTTTTGATTCTTCTCTGCCTTCTTAGTGGAGAGGTGGAAAGTGGAGCAGAGAATTGGGTATGAATTTAGGTGACTCTTGAGTTGGGTGTGGAAGGATGGGTAGGAGTTTGCCAAGTAAGAAAAGGAAGTTGAGAGTTCAGTATTAGGAGAAAGACCAAAAACATAGTGGGCAGTCCAAGGCAACTCAGAATGGGAGCTGCAAAATGGTGGTCCACATCTGAATTTTGTCCTCAAGGCCCTGTGGCTGGGGGGATGCAGTCTGTTTGGCCCTCACTGTGCTAAAATTAAGTCAACATTTTAAAATCGCAGGATTTCACGTAAAAATCAGGATTTTGTGTTTCTTTTAAGAAATCAGAAGCTCTGCCAATACCAGATTCATGACCCATGAGGGTTCATACATGGCAGTTCTTGGCTAGAACTGAGTAGCTGCTGGCCCTTATAGCCAGGGCACACTCTCTCCGTTGCCTCATGGTCCCTGCTGTTGTCCAGTGTATGACACCTACTTGGCTCCTTTATTTTGAATCCCTGTCCCTTTATTGTTTGAGTTTGTGGCCTTATCTTTTATTTTACTTTTTTTTTTTTTTTTAATATATCAATAGTCACTTTATTTTTTAATTTATTTTGTAAAATAATTCCTTACTGTTGAAAGTATAACATATGTCCCCCTTTTTTCTCCCATTGACCCCCTGCAGCCCCCCTCCAACTCCCACCTCCCACCTCAGGTCTTCAGCACCCTATTGTTTATGTCCATGGGTTATGCATATATGCATACAAGATCTTTGGTACCACCTACCCTCCCCTGCCTTCCCTCTGAGATTCTGCACTCTGTTCCATGCTTTGAGTTTCTGGATCCACTCTGTTCATCAGTTTATTTTGTTACTTACATTTGTGGCCTTATCTTTAAACATTATATACCAGTGGTTGATTTGTAAATTCTTTCAAGTCA